AATTTCTCCTTAGTATAACTATACAATATCAAGCAGACAAGTGATGAGAATAAAGAAAAATATCAATCATGGGATTTCTAATTGATCCAATACCAAATTCTCCAAACTTACATGACGAGAATCATTTGGCAGACAGTAAGGAGAATTACTAATGAGATCTTGGAAGTTAAAGGGTTAAGGAAGACTAAGCCCAAGTTGCATTTTTGATTTTCCTGCCCCTGAAAATATGGTGATTCCTTCCAAGTACAAGTGAGCAAACAAAAAAAACAAAACAAAAAATACGCTGTCAGGAGTTTTAACAACAAGGCTTTTTCCTTATCCTTAATACCTACCTTCATGTTTGGGTGTTTCACAAGCTCTTGAAAGCTCAAAGGGATGTCATAGACATTATCTGAGAACAACCTCAAGACCCTATGGAATATGAAAAAAAAAACATTTATATCTACCTCTATAACTTAGTTCAAAAACTAATCCAAGTAGCTAAATAACAACAATCATGACTAATTTTTTGCATAACAATACCAGATCAATATCAGTATCTGGGCAACTGCCCACCTACCCCTCCCCTAACTCAACAACAGTCAATTGACAACAAGTTGGGTTAGGGGAGGGGTAGGAGGGCAGTTGCCCAGATACTAATATTGATCCACAATACCTTTCAGATCCCATGTGCTCTATCATCAGAGTTGAAACTTCATCATTGCGTCGTTTCAATGCCAACTTAAGAGGAATGCTTCTGCTATTATCATTTCCTGCATGTGGATTTGTTGTTATGTACAGCTGTCCAGGGTAGTGACTTAAAATAGTTTGTGCCACAGACGTGAAGTTTAACTCTGCAACCAGGTGAAGTGGTGTCTTCCACGACAGCTCTTTTTTGTCTTTGAAAAACTTGTATTTCTTAGCTTCATCTTTGCAGAAAATTATTTTGACCAGACGATTTATCTGGGTATAAAAGAGAAACACAATGACCACTTTTAACTACTAAAGTCGGATGTGAGATTCTCCCATGCAGAGGGTGAACATTTTCATAAATATAAGTTGAGAGAATTTGGTTTTCTATTCAGATAACACCATGGAGCTGATAAACAATGTCTATTCTCATCACCAGTTCACTCACTACTGTATTGATATGTAAGGAGAAGTAACAACCCCATCTGAAATCAAATGCATGATTGAAAAATTTCATGAGCACACAATGGATCCAAATTGTGGAAAAATACAGGTACATTTAAATTTTCCACTTTATATCATTGGCAAGCACCAATATCTTTTTGATCCAACAGTTATAATAATAAACTAAAAAAAGAGTGCAATTTTCAAACTAGACACTGTGCTGTAATCTGAAATCTGATTAGATGAGTTCAATTGTTCCATTCTCACTGGTTGAGGAAAAATGCAATGTATAGCAATTTCAATGCGATTCCTAACTAATGGCACTACTGAGAGCCAATCAGATTGCTAGGATTACCACCAATTTCAAAATTGATGTAACAACAGTTTAAAACATACCTCTGCCTCTATTAATCTTGGATTATCAGAAAATGTTTCACTTGCTGGCCATTTCTTGAGTAACACTAGAAGAGGATCTTCTGAAAATTGCCTTCCTCCATCCTCAAATCTTGCAATCAAGATTTCAACTTTTACCTCATCTGACGCATCACTCCAAGATATTTCCTCAGTAGAACAATACTTCTCACGCACCTGCATTGAGTGAAAAACTTGTCACAGAGCTGAAAACAACTCTCTAAAGGTCACAAACTTTTAAGGGATCACTCTGAATACCATATCAACACTACAAAAAAAAAAGGTTGGAATTTTGACAGTTTGCGTTTTGTTTCATGTTGTTCTGTGTTACAAGAAACTCAACATGCCATTTTGGAGGCAATTCTGTAAGCAGTAAAATCACTGCATATTTAATTAAGCAAATAACCAATTAAGGCAGGCTGTCAAACAAATCATAACACATCGTAACAATGATATTTTAAGCTTAGAATTTGAAAGAACTTTTCACCATTGAACACTTACAAAAAAGTATTCACAGAGTATTTGTTTGAATAAATAAACAGGCAGTTTACTGAGGTTCTACAAGACAGCTATACTGATTGTGTTGTTTGGTTTTAAACCAACATCTGTTTTTTTGGCTTAACTTTCTTGAAGTGCCTGTGTCTTTTAACTAATCTCTAAAATTTCCCCATTTTCAATTTGAATATAATACTGCTACTGAATCACAACCAAGATTTCCGACATGTCCAACTATCACTCAGTTTTGTCCCTAAGATCTTATTTGTAATTCACCTTACTATCTGCTATATAAATTCCTATGTCATTAATTAAGAGAATTTGGTAGTGGATCAACTAATTATCCCTTTATTTAAAAATTATTCAAAAATCTTTATTCTCATCACTTGTCTGCTTGATATTGAATTGATATTGTAAGGAGAAATTCTGTCTTGGTAACTCATGGGAGCAAAAAGGTTTTTAAGCTAACTAAAGCAATCTTGGATTCAAGTGAAGACATTTTCTCAGAAAGATGCTGCATGAATTAGAATTTTCCTCAAAAGCCTTGTAAAATAAATTTTATTTCTTTATTTTGGCCTGATCATTTTACTCGTTGTTACAAACATCCTTCCCAGTCGCTTCTGTAAGTGAGTTTTCAATTCCCTACTCCAGTCCCCTTCTCTGCCCCTCCCTCCACCCCCTCGATTCCATAACACCTGCTTGCAAGAAAGACACTGCTCGCAAAGTTACAACGAGGAACTTCTGACTAAAAATAAATTTTCTCGAATGAACATGAAACCTCAAATAACACATTGAACATAATCGACGTTATGATCCTCGCTTCATAAGCTGTTACCTTTCTTCGAAAGACTTCGCTGAACTCGATCAAGTAATCATCCATAAAACTCTGCGTATACATTGAATAAACAGTCTCTTTTTTACTTTCTGTATCCTCGCTCTCGTTATCGCTGCGTTTTGATCCTCGCACATCTTCCAGGGACAAAGTCACATAAGTAATTTTTCCCGTCGATCTCGCTTCTGCCATAATAGCACTCAAAACACAAACAATGCCAACTAAAAAGGTTTACAGTCCTTTGAGTTCCACAAAGACATCAATATTAGCACATATTTTCGAAATGAAGTAGAAGAAAAGTCGGGCGTCGTTCACAGATGGACAAACACATAAACAGGCGTAATGATCATATAAAAATGCGGATGACCGGCTGTCTAATCAAAATGCGCCTTTTCTGTCAAATGAAGCCCACGCCGTGTTAACAATTTCTTGGCTTCCGGTCTCGCGCATCTTGTAAATTTTACTTCCGCTAGGAAACGAGGTGATAGGTTCGAATCAGACAGCTTACTACACCCTCGCTGTCTACAGGGGCATCGCAGAATTTTTCGGAATTTCGTTAATTGGTCTTAAAACACAAATTAAAAATGAGTATAGGTAATCGCTTGGGAATAAAGGATATTGAAGAAGTTGTAGAAATTGCTCAAGTCGCTGCATAAGTTAATCCTAGGAGGAAACACGCCAAGTCTCGTTAATGATACAAAAGGCAAAATCTTCCTTTATGTCCTTTACAATGAAGGACAAAAACTCGCACTGTTGCACAATTTTTTAGGAAGCCATTTCAGTGTTTATTTAGTGCCAATGAACTGTAAAATGCAGAAATCTGTTTAAAAAATTATTTCAAGAAATTATCTTTACACTGTAAAAGCACTGCTTTTACATTTAAAAGTAAAAACTACCATGCTTTTTGAGCAGCTCAGTTA